CGCCCTATCGGTCGCGACCGATCGCGACCAGAGGGGGCGGGGAGGAGGGAGCACCGGAAGGAGGGAGCAGGCAGCAGGCGCTACGCTGCCCTGGGATGCATGCCCTCCTCCTCCTCCTCCTCCTCCTCCTCCTCCTCCTCCTCCTCTCTCTTCCCTCTCCTCCTCCTCCTCCTCCCTCCTCCCTCCTCCTTCCTCCCTCCTCCCTCCCTCCTCCCTCCTCCTTCCTCCCTCGCGATCGGCATTCCGAGTCGGTCGCGACCGACCAGCCGCGGCCGACCTTGAAGCACATCGAGCGCGACCGATGCCAGAGTTTGCAGCAACATTGCTGGCGGCCGATATTATACCGGTCGCGGCCAGAGAAGTCCGGCAGCCGATGGTCAGGGGGGCTGCTGTCCAACGAAGGCATCTATACACCACCACCGTGCCAGTCCAGGGCCATCCTGGGCCCCATGATGGTGTATAGACCCTCCTGGCTTCGGCCAGGAGGGCGTATACACCATGCCAGCGCCAGGATGGCCATGGCCTGGCACGGTGGTGGTGTATAGATGCCTTCTGCGTATGCTGACGGGCAGAGATGAGGATGGGTCAGGCCTGCGTGGACAGCGCGACTGACGGACCACCGCGCACACTACGGCCCTTCCCGCCTGAGCCTGGCGCGCCGCCGCGCCGGGCTTGGGCAGGCAGTGCTGACCGTAAGTAGGGCATCTCCCTCTACAGGAACAACTGTCAATAATAGTCAAGCATAGTGTGGAGACGATTTGTCGTGCTCTTTAGACTATGTTGGATTCCTTTGTTTGGCAAGTTTGTATGTCTCTTCCAACATCCGCCTGTAGGAGGACATGCCCGACCTCATGCTAACCGGCGAAGGGGGGGAGAGGAAGGCAAGCGCAGGCAGACGACGGCGAGCGCGCAGGCAGGGACCAGACCCGGCACGGCGGGCGGGAAGGCGAGGGCGGGCCGGCAGGCCAGCGGGGCGATCCTCCTCCTCCTCCTCCTCCTCCTCCTCCTCCTCCTACTCCTCCTCTTCCCTCCTCCCTCCTCCTCCTCCTTCTTCCTCCTTCCTCCTCCTCCTCCTCCTCCTCCCTCCTCCTCCTCCTCCTCCTCCTCCTCCTCCTCCTCCTCCTCCTCCTCCTCCTCCCCCCTCCACAATCACACAAGATGAATACTACTCTCATTTCTCCCCTGACGACGTCCGGAAGATATCCGGCCCCCCTCCGCGTATAGTTTTTGCACCCAGGATTCCATGGAAAAGGGTTATCGCTTTAGTTTTTGTCCAAAATGTTGCTCCCGTTGCAGCGTTGGCCTCATTGCCGGGCTTCCGCTTGTTCCGCATTGTGCTCCCGCTGCAGCGTTGGCCTCATTTCCGCGCTTCCGCTCGTTCCGAGTCGTGCTCCCGCTGCAGCCCTGGACTCATTTCCGTGCTTCCGCTCGTTCCGAATCGTGCTCCCGCTGCAGCGCTGGACTCATTTCCGTGCTTCCGCTCGTTCCGAATCGTGCTCCCGCTGCAGCGCTGCCGTCATTATTTCCAGTGCCATGTCGGTCCTTCCAAATAAGCCCCAAAATCTAGAAAATGGCCCCCGAAAAAAAAATCGGAAGTGATTACAGATTTGGTGTCGATGTGTTGATTTTTTGGCTGCAAGCGCGGCACATGTCATGCTACGCGTTGATCTTCAACACCATGCTATGCCGTGTAACGCTATGCCCTGCTACGACATCCGATTGTGCGAAGAGAGAGGAGATCGACGCAATGGTGGGGGATGGGAGGAAGGGGTAGGATGTCAGATATGACGCGAGCGCACCAGGCTTGTCCTCCTCCTCCTCCTCCTCCTCCTCCTTCTCCCCCTCCTCTTCCTCCTCCTCCTCCTCCTCCTCATTCTCCTCTTTCCTCCCTCTCCTCCTCCTCCTCCTCTCCTCCTCCTCCTCCTCCGCCTCCTTCTCCTCCTCCTCCTCCTCCCCCCTCCCTCCTCGTCCTCGTCCTCGTCCTCCTCCTCCTCCTCCTCCTCCTCCTCCTCCTCCTCCTCCTCCTCCTCCTCCTCCTCCTCCTCCTCCTCTCCTCCTCCTCCCCTCCTCCTCCTCCCCTCCTCCTCCTCCTCCTCCTCCTCTCCTCCTCCTCCTCCTCCTCCTCCTCTCCTCCTCTCCTCCCTCCTCCTCCTCCCTTCTCCCTCCTCCCCCCCCTCCTCCCCCCCCCTCCTCCTCCTCCTCCTCCTCCTCCCTCCTCCTCCTCCTCTCTCCTCCTCCCTCCTCCTCTCCTCCTCCTCCTCCTCCTCCTCCTCCCTCCTCCTCCCTCTTCCTCCTCTCTCCTCCTCCTCCCTCCTCCTCCTTCTCCATCCTCCTCCGAGCCGTGCCGCGCTGCTGTGCCGAGCGCGCTCGGCTCCGCGCCCCGGCGGCGTGCCAAGAGCTGCCGGCGGCGGCCTCGTGCGCCGCTGCCGCCGCCGAGCAGCCGCGCCCGGCCATGCCCGGCGACGACATGCAAATCGGCAACACCCCAACATATTTCTACTATATGTGCGTCGCCCCCCCCAGGGGCGACGCGCGCACCGAGAAATCTTGTAGTATATGCGTCGTGGCGGGCGCTTTCTGGCCACACCGCTCGGGAAACGATATACTACAAGATGGGTATACTATATGTTCGGGTCGGACGCGCGCCTCCAAGGAGGACATATAGTATTAGTATGTCCATGTGCGTCCCATGCAAAGATCCATCCTCGCCGATCAACGATTCTGGCGACTCGATGGGCGGCGGGCGTAGTAGGTTGTGGAGCTTTCGAGGAAGGAGGAACTTTTGGCGCTCCGCGCGGATTTCTTGGACCCGCGCCTGGGTCCCCGCCGGAGGCGCCCCTGGCGCGCTCCGCGCGCCAGGGAGGGGGGTCCAGCGCGAATCCAAGAAATCCGCGCGGAGCGCCAAAAGTTTATGTTTATGTTTTTTCGTTCTTCTAGAGTTCGTCGATACCCCCGCCTGTCATCGATTCAGAGGCGACTCGACGCTTGGCGGGGGTAGGGCCCCGATGCCGCCACCTACTTGTGTCGGCTGGCGCGGCTGCCTCGGAGCAGCCCTGCCGCGGCCCCCTCGCTGCTCCGATGGCGAGGGGCGCCGCGAGCCGGGAGGCGCGGCCAGCCCGGCGCAGCCTGGAGGATGCAGACGTTACCAGGGCTCGAGCTAAACGGTGTTTGGGCAATTTCCTGGACCGTCTTCGTTTCGACTCCGTGCTGCAGCAAATGTGGGACGAAGACAGAACTGGGGACGACGAAAACGACGCGAAAACGGAAAACACTGTTTCACTCGAGCCCTGGACGTTGCCCTGACTGCTACCATCGGGCCGGGCGAAAGGGGGGGATTGGGAAAGGGGGGGGTACGAAATCTGCTGCATGCAGCTGGTTTCGGCCCCACCGAGGGGCCCATTCCTCGAGACATAATTAGCCGCCTCCCGGCGCCGGGAGGCGCCGGGAAGATCAGCTACGCGAGCTGATTCTCAAACCCCCCCTTTGCTATCCCCCCCCTTTCCCTCTGCTGTGGCTCTGGGCTCTGTCTAACTCGAGCCCTGGACGTTGCCCTGACTGCTACTTACCACTGCCGCGGCTCTCGCCCGGTGTGCTCTTTCGCGCGCGGCCGACGGCCCGCCGCTCCCTTCGCCCGGGCCGAGGGCGGCACCGGGCACGCCGTCCGTGCGGCGGCAGCGCCGGGGGCAGTGGGCGCTCGTCGGGGCGCGTGCGCCTCCTAGGGCGAGGGGTGGCCCCCTCCCCGTCGGCAGGTCCTCCTCCTCCTCCTCCTCCTCCCTCCTCCTCCTATTCCTCCCTCCTCCTTCCTCCTCCTCCTCCTCCTCTCCTCCTCCTTCTCCCTCCTTCTCCCTCCTCTCCTCCTCCTCCTCCTCCTCCTCTCCCTTCTCCCCCCCTCCTCCCCCCCCTCCTCCCCCCTCCCTCCTCCTCCTCCTCCCTCCTCCTCCTCCTCCTCCTCCTCCTCCTCCTCCTCCTCCTCCTCCTCCTCCTCCTCCTCCTCCTCCTCCTCCGTCGGCAGGGCCCCCGCAGGCGGCGGCTCCGTCCCGCTGGTGTGGCGCAGGGCGGCCCGGCGTGCCCGCGCGCTTGCTCCGAGCAGCTGTCGAAGGCCCCGGCTGAGCGGGAGCCTGCCTGGAGGACGAGAGGGCATTCGCTGGTCGCACTCCCAGTGGCGTTCCCGGAACTCGTGCTGGAAGGGCCTTCGCGGCGGCGGAGGCCATGACGACGGACCTGGCCAGCTGCGGCCCCCCTCGCGCCGGTCCCGCGGGCCCGCCGCCAGGCGCGGCGCGCCGTGGGGCCAGGCGGCTCCCCGAAGCGGCGCTTCCCGCGAGCCTCTCGCCCGCGCGGCGTACGGAGGGCGGTGCCAAGCCACTCGGGTCTGAGAGGCGCCCGTGGAGGCGTCGATGCGACGGCGCCGTGCCCGAAGAGACGACCTGGGCCCGACGAGCGACTGGAACAGCCAGGAAGAAGGGGGTGGCGGACGTCAGAGTGCCCCTTTTCAAAGGAGGAAGAGAGAACTGCATAAACACAGACTGTCGGCACTCCGCGCGGAGTGAGGTCCAGCGCTGTTCCAAGAAATCCGCGTGGAGCGCCAAAGCTTGATCTTTATGCCGTTTTTCTTCTTCTATTCATGCCGACCTGGTTCTGACGTTGGTGGTATTGTTCCATCCAGAGGTGCTGCCATCCCCACCCCCGCTCCCACCCCAGCGGCGGTGGCCTTCCCCCACCCTCCTACTCTTGCCGTCTCATCCCTGTTTCGCCCCCTTCGCTCGCCACTCAGAAGGCTGAGCTTTTCCTTGCCCTCGTCTCGTCCATACTCGAGGCACTCGATGTTTCTTCCTTCGCCTTCTCATCCGCCTCTCTTCCCTCCCTCTTGCCCTCCGCCTCCCCCTGGTCACCCTTCCTCATCATAATTCTCCCCCTCCTCTTCATCGTTGCCCTCCTCATTCCGCTTCCTCCATCGCCCCCTTCCCCCCTTTTCATCCCCATCTCACCACCCCAGATTGGAGGAGTTCCAGATAAAGCGGCACGACCTCCTCGACTACCACTACAACCGGTTCGACCGCGACTACGTCGAGTTCAATGCACCCTCCTCGCGATTCGCGCCGAACGCTCTTCCACCTCCCCTGGATTAGCATCGCTCCGTTCCGAAAGGCCATTCATCAGTTGGTGGGGTACCAGGGGCCCAGGGACGAGGTCGGCCTACCCTCGCGGATCCCCCCCCCTCCTCTGTAGCACACACCGTGTTCGACCTCCTCCAGGGCCTCCCGGGCGTCCCCCCGCCGCCCAAACAGCTCCACTGGGAATAGACAAGCGACCGGAGCAACCCAACAGGGCCGAAGACGCCCGAAGATTGCTTCAAGACTGGCCAAAAGGCTCCGGAGACGCCTAAAAAAGGTTCCATGATGCTCTCCATGAGGCTAAAATTGCCACATTTCCTCAGGAGCGCGTGCTTTTTGAGCATATTCGCCCTTGGGCCCCCCAAGATCGCCCATGATCACAGGCCCCCCAGATGGCCCAAGAAACCACCAAGACTGTCCAAGAGGCGCCCAGGGCGACCCAAGCGGGCCCCAAGAGGGGTCCAAGGGGGCACCTGGAGCCCCCCAGCAGGCCCCCCCAGCAGGCCCCCAAGAGGCCCCCGAAGGGCCCTGAAGGTGCCCCAATGGGCTTCCAAACTCGCTCCGCGGGGCGTCCGAGAAGCACATGCCAATAGGCCCTGCGTTGCTGGTATCCAAGAAGCCTCTGGCCCAAACTGCCGAAGGCCATAGATACGCAAGCAATTGGCCTTGCGACGGACCCTGCCCTTTGATGCGGTCATGTGTAGCGCATGGCGTGGGCCTCCTTCCCTATCATATACTGTACGCCGCGGGGCAGCGCGGACAGCGGGCTGCTACGGATCACGCGTGCATGGGCGCGCTGAACTCCCTGTGGGGCACGATCCGGGTGAAGGGCGTGCCGAATCATTCCAATGCCCCCGCGCGAATACGCCCACTGAGGCCGCAGGCGGAGCTCCGCGGCATGTACCGAAATGGGTGGGGGGGGCGCCATACGAAGCTGCCATGGTGCAATGGCTGGAGCTCCTTCTGGAGCATGATTCGCGTGACTGGGGATGCCTGAGGATGCCTGAGGGTTCTTGAAGGATTCCCCGCGGATTCCTGAGGATGCCCTGAAGATTCCTGAGAGATCCATCGGGCTTCCTCGGAGGAGTCCTGAAGGATCCCCGAGGAGTCATGATGGATTCCTGAAGGGTTCCTGAGGATGCATGAAGGGCTTCTTAATGCATCTTTTGATTTTTTTGGGGGTATGTTTTTTTGTTCGTCGAAAATCCCCGTGTAGGGGGACACTCCCGACTTAAACCTGGTCTCTGGGGCCGTGCGTGGGATCCCCTGTGGGCCACGATCCGCGTGAGAGGCGTGCCGAAGCGAGCGGGGCGACGCTAGGGAGTTTCCCGGGCCTCTCGGAGGCCCTCCTGGGCCGTCTCAGGGCGGTGTTGGCCCATCAGGCGCGCCGGAAACCGCCGCGGGAGCCTCGCGGGCTGGCATGGGTATTGTGGTCATTGTGGAGCCGTCTGGGGGCGGCTTCCTTGGCCGCCTTGAGGTTGTTGGAGCCTCTGCGGCTGCTGGGAACCCAGCAAGGTGAGAGAACGGAAACCGTTCAAACGGGTAGAATAATCAGTGACTTGTGCTTCTTCGGGATGTCTTCGAAAGCCTCGGGCCCCCTCCAGGCCATCTTGGCCATCCTGGAGGCATGCGGGGCGAACTTGGAGGCTTCTTGGGACCCTCGTGCCATCTTGGAGGCCACCAGTGACAGTCTTGGGCCGCCTGTGCCCGTCGTGGGGACCATCTTGGGCCATGTTGGCTGGCTTGGAGGCGAGCTGCCTCTGTGTGGGGTGCTGTGTAGGGCCGGGGCGGGCGGGGCGAGACCACAAGGAACATGCTGGCAGGCCGCGCGTCCCTCTTGCAAGCAACTCCTCCTCTTCCTCCTCCTCCTCCTCCTCCTCCTCCTCCTCCTCCTCCTCCTCCTCCTCCGCCCCCTCCTCTCCCTCCTCCCCCTCCTCCCTCCCTCCTCCCTCCTCCCTCCTCCCTCCTCCCTCCTCGGTTCGGGGAGGGTATCCTAGTGTTCTTCGTGCTTGTTGGAGGTCATGGTGCATCCTGGGGGGGGGCACCCTCGAATGCTCTTCATTTTGGGCAGGGTCTCGTGGTCTTGATGGGTATTCTTCTGCATCAGGTCTGGCTGTACGGCGAGTCACCGCCGTTCCCTGCTTTTTGGGTCACGCCTGTGTGTCTAATCGCTGGGGAGAATTTGGACAAGCGTTCGGATGCTCTGCTCCCCAGGCCGTTGTGAAGGAACATGTAGGGAGCATGGGACGGCCTGTGGGGGGGGGCTTCGTCTTCTTCTTGGGAGCCTCTCGAGGATCTCTTGGGGGCGTCTGGTGAACGTCTTGGAACGTCTAGGGGGTTCCTTAGGGGCCATCTTGGAACGTCTTGAAACGTCTTGGAACGTCTTGAACGTCTTGGATCGTCTGCTGAACGTCTTGGGGGATGTGGAGACCAGCTCACGGCGTCCAGGGGCTGCCTCGGGTCTTCTTCAGCCTATCTTGGGGCTTTGCAGGGCAGAGCGCGCCCTCGTGAGAGGATGGCCCGTGGGTCGCACGAAGAGGAGGATAGACGTTCAGGATGGGCTTCGGACGGCCCAAGAATCCCATGACCCATGGGAAGTTTCAAACAGAACACATCATTCATTCTATGACCCCCGACGCCGAGCACTTTGTACTATAACCAAAGGTTGCTAGAACCTACGCGCGCGCGATTTGCGCGCGTGGTTGAGTAATCAAGAATATCCTGGGCCTGCTTCCACAGCCCAAGATGTTTCAGACCACTTGGACCATCTTTGCCTCCTCTTTAGAAACCTTCGGGCGTTTGACACGTTTCTTGACATGCTACAGGAGAGGAAGTGGACGCATACGCAGAGGAATGGGGAGAATAACGAGGAGGAAGAGGAGGAGGTGGAGGAGGAGGAGGAGAAGGATGAGAACAGGAGCAGGAGGGGGAGGAGAGGGATGGGGTAGGAGGAGGCGCCCCCTCCCCAGATCCCCTTCCTTGCTGTGCTCCCCCAATGCATGACCTGACCCACGATCCTGCCCTTCCGCCCCGAACCCTTGGAATCCCCAGAATTCTTTAAGGGGGGTCCATCATCTTAGAAAGGTCCTCTATCCTCCTCCTCCTACTCCACCTCCTCCTTCTCCTCCTCCTGCTCCTCCTCCTGCTCCAACTCCATCCTACTTCTGCTCCGTCAACCCGCATGCCCAGCAGGTACGGATATCGGACCTCGAGGGAAGCCTCCGGCAGTATATCAACATGTCCTTCGAGCAGATCACCTCCATCGAGTCCTCGCTGCAGCTTCTGGCGAAGGACACGGGGGGTTGTGTGTGTGCAAAGTCAGATCCTTAAATTAGTCATCAACCTCGCCTTTTTCTTGGTATGATCAACCGAAGAACTTCCGTTCTCCCCGCTTCTGCTCCTCGGTGCGCCGCTCGCGTTCCCCTCCCGCTTTTATCCTTCGCCCCCCTTTTCTATCCTTAGCCACTCCATGCCCCCATTTTCCGTCATCCGGTTGGCCCCAAAGGTGGCCCTCGAGGCTTTTGTATTAGACCTCTCATCCTCTCTTCTTCGTCGTCCCTCCCCTGCGTGACTGTCCAGGCCGTTGCGGCACATATACGACAAAACACAAACACACATCTATTCTCTCATGTTCTGCTCGGGTATGTCTTTGATATACTGGTGTCTTCTATTTTGTCATGATTTTGATATGTTATGTACTGCCATGTTCTGTCATGCTCTCGCTCTATTCTGTCATGTTCTGTTGTGTCATATTGTATTCTGTCGTGTTTGTCGAGGGCTCGAGGCGGGACACCCGGGATTCTCGGGACAACCTGGGGGCTGGCGGCCGCGGTATGCAGGGTGTGCTCTGTTGTGTTTGCCGAGGGCGCGAGGCGGGATAACCGGGACACTCGGGACAAATTGGGGTTTGTCGGCCGCGGTATGCAGGGTGTGTTCTGTCGTGTTTATCGAGGGCGCGAGGCGGGATAACCGGGAAACTCGGGACAATTCTGGGGAATGGCGGCCGCGGTATGCAGTGTGTGTTCTGTCATGTTTGTTTGCGGCGCGAGGCGGGATAACCGGGACACTCGGGACAACTTGGGGTCTGGCGGCCGCGGTCTGCAGGGTGAGAGTGGCCGGGAGGTCTGTCTTTAAAATCTAGCGACCCCAACTTGTCCACTGGGGAACAGCACAAAACAAAACACACATACACAACTTCAAAAAAACACAACATACCGGACGGAACATAAAACAAGCCACACACACACGCACACAAACATGACTCAATTATGGCTCAGATTTTGCACACACAAGTGGGGATTCGAAAGATGGTTCTATTTGGCAGCACTTTTTTCATGTTCTCAGAGCAACATGTGATGATGCCCAGATCGTGTTCGATAACGCGGCGATCCGTATTTATGCAAAGGGGGGGCAGAGCTAAGGGTGCCATTGACCGGATGAAGCAGGTGGGGCCTCTCAGACCTCCAAACGTCGCGGAACAAAAGCACGACGGGCGTGTTTTTGCGTAGTGTTTTGGCCCCCAGGGCCCCCTTCTTTATCACCGGTGCAGTCGACCTCAGTGAAGCACGTCGTGGGAGAGGGGGAGATGACGCTGTCCCTCGGGCCCAATCGGCCAGGAGTGCAAAACATCACGCTCGTCAGCAGCAGGGAGGAGGCAGGGACCCTCTTCGTGCCCCGAGGCAGTCATGAAGCTGCCCGCGAGGAGGGACCGGCCCAGGGAAGGGGCTTCGGGAGCTCCCGGGGCCCACGCCGTGAGCGGGCCCAGGCAATGCAGGGCCATCGGAGGCGCGGGCGCGGAGGAGGGAGACGTTATATGGGCACCCTTTCCCTTCCCCTCCGGCGGCAATGGCGCGGCCAGAAGTCGCAGCAGCGGCTGGGTTGGGCCTTTCTCTTTCCCTGTCTCTCTCTCTCTCTCTCTTTTTGTCCTCTATCTCTGTCTCTCTTCCTGAGCATCCTTGAGCGCGTGCAGCTTTTCAGCTCCTGGTCAGGAGCTTTGAAGCCGGCCTGTTCGGATGTTTCGGTTCGCCGTGGGCGTGGGTGTACGGAGGGACGTGCACGGAGAGAGGCAGCCGATGGCACAGCGGGGGTCGTAGGGAGTTGGGGGGGGGGCGGGGGGGGGGGGGAGGTGAGGTGAGGGAGGGGCACGTGGGTGGGGGGCGAGGGGGGGGGCGCGCCGAAGGACACCAGGTGGGGGGGCAGGTCGGAGGGAGCACGGCCAGCGTCGTGCAGCCAACACCACAAGCGAGAAGCCGCCGCGACAGCAGTTCCCCCGCCACCCCAGGGGCACGTCGAGACATCTGCTCGACGCAGGGTCGAAAGCGTACCACGGGCGCTTTCTGCCCCTGGGCCTTCCTGTCGCTTGGACCTGGTAAGCCTTTGTGCCCCCCTTGCCCCTCTCATCACGAACGACCCACGGTTGCCATCCGTGGCTGGTGGCCGCGGACGACTGCCGGGTACTGGCGGCGCGGCCTTTACTTCTCTTCCTTTGTCTTCCGCGCGCAGTTCCAGCGCATCCTGAAGCGGGACAACCTACGGAGCGACCTCGAGTCCAAGTTCCAAGGCAGCCCGATGAGTTCCCCTGAGTCAGCAGATGCCTCCACATTCTTCGTGCCATGCCATTTTGCCCATCCGTTTCTTCTCCGCTTGCTCTTCTGTTTGTCGTCTCATATACCTTCCCTGCTTCACATCCTGTTCCTCCTCTCCATGACTCTCTATCCCTCCAGCATTCTCGTCGTGTCGGCTTCCTGAGTCCGGGGGGGGTCACTACCGGTTCGAACCCCTCCCCCCCCCCCCCCCCGGAAAACCGGGGGGGGGTCACTACCGGTTCGAACCCCTCCCCCCCCCCCCAGCTCATCATGAAAAGGGGGGGGGGTCACTACCGGTTCGAACCCCCTCCCCCCCCCCCTCGAAAACCGAGTGGGGGTGCGGACAGTGGTGGGGACGGTGTTGGTGGGGACAGTGGTGAGGGGACAGCGGGACAGTGGTGGGGACAGTGGGACAGTGGGACAGTGGTGGGGACGGTAGTGGTGGGGACAGTGGTGGGGACAATGGTGGGAACAGGGGGGACAGTGGACAGTGGTGGGAACGGTGGTGGTGGGGACAGTGGTGTGGGGACAGTGGGAATGAGGTGGAAACACTGGGACAGTGGAGGGTACAATGGTGGTGGGGACACTGGTAAAGGCGGTGGCGAGGACGGCGGTGGGACAATGGGACAGAGGTACAGTGGGGACAGTGGTGGGGACAGTGGGGACAGTGGTGGAAACAGTGGGACAGCTCAGTGGGACAGCGGAGGAGTCAGTGGGACAGTGGGGACAGTGGGGATAGGCAGTGGTTGGGTCCGTGGAGACAGTGGGGAGAGTGGAACCGTGGTGGGAACAGTTGTGGGAACAGTGGGGACAGTGCGACAGTGGTGGGGGCATTGGTGGGGACAATAGGGACGGTGGTGGAACCAGTGGGGACAGTGGTGGTGAGGACAGTGGTGCTGGGAACAACAGTGGGGGATGTGATGCGAGCGGTGGTAGGGACCGGGAGTCGTTTGCTGGCGGTGCGTGGGGAGGGGGGTCGAACCGGTAGTGACCCCCCTCCGGTTTTCGAGGGGGGGGGGGTTCCAACCGATAGTGACCCCCCCCCGGTTTTTTCCGGATCCGGAGGGGGGGGGGTGGGGGGGGGGGGGGGGGAGGGGTTCGAACCGGTAGTGACCCCCCCCGGTTTTCGAGGGGGAGGGGGGGGGGAGGGGTTAGGGGAGGGGGGGGGTTTTGCCGGGAGGGAGGGGGGGGGGGGGGGAGGGGTTCCGGCAGGGGGGGGGGATTTTCGGAGGGGGGGGGGGAGACCCCCGGGTTCCGGAGGAAAAGGTTGGCAATTTTCCACAGTAAAGCGGCGGTGGATCACGCTCTCTCGGATCTGTGGGTCCTCGGTTTCTTGCATGGTGTGTCGGCTGAGTTGTGCGGCGTGCGATTGTACATGCAACGGCTTTGCGTTGGCACTGTCCTGGCGTGTTCTGTTTCGTCACGCCTTGGCCTCGACCCGCACAGCTACCTCGATCCTCTGTTGTGTCAGGACTAGCGCGGTGGTTGGCTGCATTCTGACAGTGACCCGTGGAAGCTTCCTTGTTTGGAGTTGCTGACATTTATAATCGCACCGCGCTTCGACGCCGCGTCCACTGATTCAAGGAAATCCACAGTTGGTTTCTTCATTGTGGGTCTTGTTGAAAGTTTGAACCTGCATGTTGGCGCGGGGACCTTGATTAGGGGTCACTTATGCCGGAGTTACCAAACGCGGCGGCATGCCAAATATTATTTACACCTTGGGCTCAAGGGCTCTCCAGTTATTGCCTCGATGAGTGGTGTGATTCGTACCGTAACGGCTCGAGTCGTGCAATTATCGTGTGTTCTTGTTGTTGCAGTCCACACCCCTATCCAAGTGGCTCACGCCTTTCCGCCGACCCCACAGAAGGAACGTGTTGCTTGCGACGATCTTGGACATTTTCTCGTGGGCCAGGGGCTTCTTGGATGCATGTGAGGGGCCCGTGGGATGCCTCTCAGGGGCCTCTTGGAGGGCTCTTGCGGGCATTTTGGACGTGGGGGCGTCCTGGGGGCTTCTTCGCGACTCCTTGGGAGCCTCTTGGTGCCTCTGGTGAGCGCCTCGGGGGCGTCGGGGGGGCTGTTTGGGCCATCTTGGGAAGAAAGGCTCGACATGTCAGTTCGTATCCCCCTTCTTGGTTCCCTCTTAGGGCCTTCTTGAAGCTTTCTTGGGCCTTTGGGGGGACCTCTGCTGCCGTCTCGGGGCCCTCTTGGGCTGTCTTGGCGCCCTCTTGGAGACCTGATGGGCCGTGTTGGGACGATTTGTTTGGGCCCCTTGGGCCGTCTTAGACGCTGCCGAGACGAAAAAGGTGAGTATGCTAATAGTGCACGTTTCCCTAAGGGAATGGGACAATTGTTGCCTCTTGGGGCCGTATCGGTGGTCCTCTGGGAGCATTCCTGGGCCGTCTTGTAGGGGCCGTCCCGAAGCCATCTCTGGACCGTCTTGGGGCGACCCTGCGCCGTCTCGACGTTCTCTTGGACTGCTTTGACGCTCTGTCTGGGCCCTCTTGGGGCTTTTGGGAAGCTCCGGAGACCGGGGGGGGCTTTGACGAGCTCGTGCCCACCCCCCTTCAAACAGCATTTGGACCCCACGGGAGGGGGAAAGGGGGAGGGGGACAGCCAAATGTCTCACACACCTTTCACCCCCAACAAGCGGGGGTTGGCGGATTTTGCTTGGCCTCATCATGTCGTACCCGGGAATCGTCCAGACTGGATGGTGTTGGCAGAATCATGTGTGAGGGTTCGACCGGCACCTTAAGTGCTTCGAGGTCAGGTTCTGGCGGTGCGTCAGTCAGTCTGGAAGTTTTGTCTTGGATTTTCCCCAGGCCAAAAGCGCGTCAATCTTTCGAAGATGGGTGCTCCTCGCGGGGCTTGGAGTGTGGCGAACTTTTCGCTTCAAGACAGCGCAGGCACAGCCGTGTTGTCTACGTGGTGCATTCATGAAGGTGCAACATATGTTGGGCAACCTATGTGGAACTTTTCTTTGTGGTGCAATTCGCCCTGCCGACCTTCAAGCTGCCATATCCACTGTTAACGCAATGGCCCCGCCCACCCAGCCCCTACTTGGCTTGCAAAACCCATGCGGCGGCGATTGCCATGAATGCTTGGCGCTGGCTGGCGCATCGCTGCGGCCGCGCGAGCGCGCGCAGGCTCGCGCGCAGAGCAGCCACCCAGTCTGGGGCGACCGTCGCGGCCGCGGTGGCGCTGACCGCTGGGGACCTCCCAATGCGTCTCGCAGGCCGCGCTGGCGCGTGGGCATCTGAGTGCGAGCCAGTGATTCGAGCGGGCGCGGTCTGAGGGCGACGTCGGCAACGGCCAGCCACTACGACGATGCTAGCACTGCTGGTGACGACGATGGCGATGTCGACGGCGAGGCCAATGACGGCGCCGATGCTGATCGCCCCGATGACGATGACGGTGCCCGCGCGTCGGCGGTGAAGATTTTGGACGGACTTCGGCATGCGCGCGCGGCCGACGGGCACGCGTGGCCCGCATGGTTTTGTTCGGCACGGGTCGTCCTCCCCTCCGCGCGCGCGAAGTCGTTCGGAGGATTTCCATTCGCGCGCGCAGGAGGCCCGTATGGTCGCGGTTGATGAAACTGTTGGGGAGCATTTGGTCGTCGCATGGTTTGGCAAGCGCGCGCGCTGTTTTGTTTGACGGCGCAGGTTGTAATCTCGTTCGGTTGTTATTCCATTTGCGATCAAGAACCCCGATGACATCGTGACGAAGCTTACGACTTATGATCTATCATGGCATGCGCACGCGGCGTCGCGCTCATGTAGTATTTGTCTTGTTGGATGCAACGGGTCACTAACCAGCCATAGTTTAACATGTTCTGCACAATATGTTGTTCAGCGCGTGCCGACCCCGCTCCCTCAAATCTCTCTTTCTGCTCCTACCTCACATTCAAACCCGCTCGCAGTCAGACCCACTCGTACTCTGATTCGTGCCTATCAGGGGTCATTCATATTCAAGGCCACCAGTCAGCATACCCATTCATATTCAGACTCACTCATACTCACTCGTTCATACTCAGAGACACACACGCATACACACATTCAGCTCATTCGCGCTCACCCGCACTCAGATTCACTCGCTGTCAGAGCCTCGGTCGCGCCCAGGGACGAGGATTTCTCAGGCGAGGCGCTGGTCTCAGCACTCCCAGGGGGGTACCGCCATGGGGTATATCATCCTCCCGCTCGCGTCCAAATCGTGGGCATGTCTCAGGCGGTTCGCTTGTTTTGGTGGTCAAGGCCGTCTGCGTTCTGAGCAGGTTGTGAGGATTTTTTTCGGGCGAGGCGCGGGTCTCAGCACCCCCGAGGAGGAGCCGCTGGAGGGGTATATCACAGGGCCGTTCGCGCCAAGGCAATGGGGGTGTCTCACGCGGTTTGCCTGTTTTGGTGGCCGGATTCGTCTGCGATCCAGGGTCGAGGGCTCACGGCCCCCCCCCTCCCCAGATGGTATGGTCCCAGGATTCTTCGGGCCCCCCCCCCCCCCCCCCCCCCCCAGATGGTATGGTCCCAGAGACGACGACGACGACCACGACGACGACGACGACGACGACGGCGGCGACTACGACGACGGCGACGACGACGACGACGACGACCACGACGACGACAACGACGGCTGCGGCGGCGACGACGCCGGCGGCGGCGGCGACGACGACGATGACGACGATGACGACGGCGACGACGACGATGACGACGACGACGACGACGAGGACGACGAGACGACGACGACGACGACGACGACGACGACGACGACGACGACGACCTCTGAACCACCACAGCACCACACCACATCCACAGGGGGGGGGAAGGGGGGCACCGCAGCGCAGCACCACGCCACGCCCACCTCTGAACCACCACAGCACCACGCCACATCCACAGGGGGGGGAACCGCAGCGCAGCACCACGCCACGCACACAGGGGGGGCTGAGGGGACCATCGCGCTTGGGGGGGGGCCCAATGGCATCAGCATTGGGGGGGGGGGGGCCCAAGCCCTGGACCATATCACAGGGCCGTTCGCGCCAAGGCAATGGGGGTGTCTCACGCGGTTTGCCTGTTTTGGTGGCCGGATTCGTCTGCGTTCAGAGCAGTTTGTGAGGTTATTTCAGGCGAGGCGCTGGTTTCAGCACCCCCGAGGATGAGCTGCCAAAGGGTATATCACGGGCCCGTTTGCGTCCAGATTGTGGGGCAGTCTCAGGCGGTTTGCTTGTTTTGGTGGCCAGCTTCATTTGCGTTCAGAGCAGATAGTGACGATGTCTCAGGCGAGGCGTTGGCTTCAGCACCCCAGGGGGAGGTCGCCATGCCAGGGCGTATTTTTTTTTGTTCAGGGCAAGACTTTTGATCGCACGCACCCGTAGTGGAGTCTGACAGCCCCTTCCCCGGCTTCCCACGGGCGTCCCCGCCGCTCTCCGCCCTTGCTTTTTCCACTCGGGGCCCCCGCAGGCCGCCGCGCTGTGGGGGAGGATCGTTTCCATACCCCCTGCTCGCACACGCGGCACCTCCCGCCACACGAGGGGGGCGCGGCGGGCGCCGGCAGCCCGCGCGCCCGGACGGGCGTCCGCCGAGCTGTTGCGCTCTCTGGCGGGCGTCTCCTCGAGCACGCGGCCCTGGGGGCCCATGCCGGACAGGGCGCTGGCCGAGCCCGGCGGCCTTCGCCCCCTGCGGCCCCCCCCCGTCTGCCGCCTCCTCCTGCCTCCCTGCCGCTGCCTTCCCCCCCCCCATCACCCTCCCTCCTCCCAGTCCTTCTCCGCCTCTTCCTCCTCCCCCTCCTCCTGCCCTCCCCCCTGCTGTTGCTCTCCCGCTCCCGTCGCCACCTCCTGGTCGTCCTCCTCCTCCTCCTCCTCCTCCTCCTCCTCCTCCTCCTCCTCCTACTCCGCCTCTCCGCCCAAATCTCCCTCCGGTCTTTCCCCTTGCTTCATCCACCTCAGCATACGTGCGCACTCCCTTTCTTTTTTTTTTCTCCGCATCCTCGTCGCCCTCCTCATGCGCATCCTCGTCTTCCGCCTCCCTGCGCCACCTCCTCCACGCTCTGCCGCCGCATCCTCCTCTTCACTTTCCCCTCTCATCCCGCCCCCTGCCCTCCCTGCCTTCGCTCCGTCGCCTCCTCCATCCTTCCCCATGCGCCCCGCCCTTCCACGTCCTTCGCAACGGGGCCTGCCCACAGTGATCTTCCAGAACTACGGTGAGCAGCTCACTCAGGTGCAGGACCAGTACGAGAAGTACAAGGCCGCCGCTGGCCGCCTGGGAGCTCGCGCCGCTGCGCCGCCGTCGGCGTCGACCTCCGCCTTGTGTTGTTGTTTTTTGTTCATGTGCAAGGCTCTTTGCGGTTTTGAATTGCGCTTCCTCGCCCTCCCCCTCGTCCTCCTCGCCGTCTGCCTCCTCGTCCTCCTCCGCCTCCTCTACCTTGCCCCGCCTTTATTCGTCGTCCTCCTCTGTTCGCCTCCCGATCCTCCCGAAGGGGATGAGGGGGGTGTTCTCGCCGCAGCGCCCGTCACAGTCCTCCCCTGGCGTGGCGCTTGCGCCGCAGAGCTGGAATGGTAGCAGCAGTAGCAGCAGCGCCAAGTCAGGATCAGCAGCATCATCACAGCAGTGGCCGGAGGGATGCGACAATGAATAGCAATTCCAGCGGCAGCAGCATTAGCAATATCAGTAGTAGTTGTGGCAGCAGTGATGGAAGCAGCCGTATCAGCATCACTATTTTTTGACGTTGCCTCTCTGACAGGTCATCAGCATTAGCAGCCGTGTGAGTGCCATCAGTACACCGCCTCAGTGCCAGTGGCAATCGTACGAATAGTTGTAGCAACAACCGTCTTTGCAAGAGGCATCAGCATCATCGGCAGTAGCAGTTGCCACCTAGTGGCCTTCGGCCCATCCCGCCACAGTGCCTGGGTTGTGGGTCAGAGATTTCAGGAATGCTTCTTCGGGTCTCTTCGGAGCGCTCTCGGGGGCCTCTTGAGGGCAGTTTGAGGGCCTCTTGGGAGCCTCTTAGGGGCTTCTTGGGGGCCTCTTGATGCCCCTTTGGGGCCTTTGGGGGGCCTTTGGGGGGGCCCTATTGGAGGCCTCTTGGGGCCTCCTGGGGGCCCGTCGGGGCCGAGGGATCTCATCTGAGCGCCCTCTTGGAGCCGTGTTTTTGGACATCTTGGGCCGTCTTGGGCGCCTCTTGGGCCGTCTTAAAACCCTCTTGGGCCGTTTTGGGGCCTCGGGGGCCTGTTGGTCTGATCTTGGGGCGATCGTTGGGGCCCTTGAGGCCGTCGGGGAGCGTCAGAAAGCGGGCGAGGCGAGAAAGCTGCAATTGTTCAAGCATCCAGGGACAATCGATGATTTTGGCCATTGGGGACCCTCTCGGGGGGCCTCTTGGAAGCCTCTTGGGGGCGTCTTGGAGGCCTCTTGGGCCGTCTGGGGGCGCTCTTGGGCGTCTTGGAGCGATCCCTGGGCGACTCGGAGCCCTCCTGGACCGTCCTGGGGGCGTCTCCGGGCGCCCCTCGGCCGATCTCTCGGGGCCCGCAGGGGGGGGGAACAGGTCAGGCGACGAGGTGCCGCGAACCCCCGGGCGGCTCAAGGCTCCTCGCCTCGAGCACCTCCTCTCTCCTCCCTCCTCCCTCCTCCCTCCTCCCTCCTCCTCCTCCTCCTCCTCCTCCTCCTCCTCCGCCTCCTCCTCCTCCCGCCCTCCCTCCTCCTCCCGCCCTCCCTCCTCCCCTCTGCCTCCCGGGAGAAGCCCGGGAGATTTCCGAGTGAGGATTGAGGCTTAGAGGATTGGGCCCAGGGCCTGAGGACATGCCCGCTCCGTGCCCAGCGGCACGGTTTTGGAATACTGTCAGAGGCAACAGCGGTATGGCCAGCCTGCAAATATTGATCAGTGCTGTATCATCTTATGGAACAGAAATCCGGAGGAGGCTTGCCCAAGGCGGGGTTGTCCGGGAGGGTTGTCCCGATTCTTGTGGGGTTGTCCAAAGGATTGTTCGGGCTGCGATGTCTTGCAGGCACGTGCACACATCATGATCATACATACCATCAGATGCATGGTACAACCAGGGAAACCCAGCTGGAAATGTCGCGTCACTGTTCCCCTTTCCCCTCCTGTCCGTGCCTCGTCTCGTGTCCTCCTTCCGCTCCCGTTCGCACGCCCTCCCTTACCGCGCACGAGTTTGTGCAGGCAGATTTGCATGAGACATCCTCGCAACATCTGGGGCTCCGATCAATTCTGGCCTGAGGTGGTCTGGCCAGTCTCGCACGAGAAATCCTGCAGATTTTGGGCTCAAGGAGCCGCGCACGAAGTTGTCTGACAAATTTCTCCTGAGATTCCCTCGCAACTCTGGGCGCAGAGGTGCTCTGACAGGAGGTGCTCCAGGCAGCTTCACCCGAGATATCCTCCCTATTCTGGTTTCGGAGATGACGCGCGAGAGCTGGTCTGGCCAGTTCCGCCTGAGACATCCTCGCAGTGCTGCGCGCTGGCCACGTCTCTGATTGGGAACGGCACTCTCGCCCCAACGCCGGCCGCATCTTTTATTGGGCACGTATTGTGTTACCGCTCGAGTGTCATCCGTGATGTGGAATGTTGCTCTCGCCCGAGCTCTGGCTAAATCCCCGTCTGAGAGTGGTGCTGTCGCCTTCGCGCTGGCCACATGTCTCGCCTCAGCGCCGGCCACATCCCTCAGCGGGAATTGTGCTGCCGCGCGAGCGCCAGCCACAAACACATGCTGGGACGCTTCTGGTGTCTGGGTTGTCCGCGGGGGTGGCCAGGGATGCTTGTGGATGTGATGCTTCCATTGGACATAGCAGTGGCCGCAGCAACAGCGGTAGCAGCAGCGAATAGCATCCACAGCGCATTCGGAAACAAAAAAGTATGCGCAGTGCCGACAGGGATAGCAGCACACCAGATGCCAGCATAAACAAAAGCAAGAAGCAGCAGCAGCTGCAACAACCACATCCAGTGTCAATAGTGGCACTAGCAACATAACATATGCATCCATATCAGCACGACCCAGCAATATCAGCAGAATGGTCGGTGTCATTGGCGAACATCCAGCAAAGCATCCAGCATTATAGACGCATGTTTGGCAGCAGTAGTGCAGTAACCATCAGCAGCAGCCGTGGAATAGCATTGTTGCCAGCAGTGCCCGGACCGTCGACAGCAGCAGCAGTGCTGTTGCATGCGCATGCAACACATACCCGCGTTAGCAGCAGCATTGACATTAGCGTTAGTATCGACAGATTCTGTAGTTCACGTTGCCAGAACCTCGTGACGAATATGACGAGCATCGTAATCAGCAGTAGGAGCAAGAGTAGCAGCAGTACCACCAGAACTAACTACATAACAGTATTAGCCTAAGTCATAATACTCGCTGAGAAAACACATCTAGCAACGAGGCCAAAAGTATATGTGTCGTGCACCAGGCATGCCGTGGTGAACGAACATTCCGGTTGAATTGCTGGTGCAGTACCATGAACGAGTTGAATTACTTGGTGTGCTTTGGCCAGATGCGTTCCTTTCGCTGCCACAACTGATGCGCTAGATCCACCATCCCGTGGCCTTTGGCCCATCCGGAAACTGTGGCTCTTCGGGGGGCCTCATGGAGCCTCCAGGGGCGTCTTGGGGGCTTGCTGGCTGCCCCAGGATCCATCTTGAGGGGGAGGGCTCTCGGATCCCATTCCATGTTATTGTTTTTCGGCCCCTCGGCTCTCCTGGGTGCCTCGTTGGCCACTCTTGGAGGCTCATGGGTTGTATTGCGGCGATCTTTCTTGGACGTTGCTATCACTGGAATGAACATGAAAGTCATACAGGAACTTAATTCGAGGGTTGGACAGTTTCGGCATCTTGGGCCAGCCCCAAACCCCCAAATGGGCCAGAGACACCCAAGACGCCCCCCTGCGAATGTCACAAAGCGGTGAAGTTTTGAGTCTCAATATAGCGTCTAGCATGCGAGGAACCCCATGATCGCACGAGGGCGCCAAGGATCCGCCAATAGACATGTCAGTTGGTGGTCTGCGGCCCTCTCAGAGAATTTCCAACTCACATGTGCGCTGGAGATTGTAAAGACCTGGGGGCACTCCCTTCAGTGTCTTCTGCACAGTGGCGGACCATGCGTTCGCCCAGCCTACTAGGTGTTCTTATTGTCCTCAGGTGTGGCGTGCGTCCGTTTCCTGCGCTTGCGCACCCGTTGGCCGAGCTTGCCTGCTTTTGCGAGGTCCCCACATGCGCACTGTGCGCCGTCCGCCCTCCATGAGACCGTTCCGCTACCGGAGCTGGCATGCAGACCGCTTTGCGTTCCCTTGCCCCCCCCCCTGTCCCCTCCCAGAGGCGGGGGCTCTGGGAGGGGCCGAGACGGAAGGGCTCCCGCGCCGAGGCATGCCCGCCCTTGGTGCGCAACTTGCCGCCTGTCGCCGGCAACATCACGTGGGCCAGGCTTGACGCCCTCTCTTCCTTCCCACTGGGGCCCTCTCCGCAGTCCTTCCGCCGACTCGCCCGAGGCCTTTTTCCTCCGCGGGCCCTCTTCGCCTGCCTTCCACCGATCGGCACGCGTGCTAGGATGGTTGGCGGGCCTCGTGGTGCGCCCTCCCCTCTTCGCCCGGCCCTCCTCCTGCTCCTCCTGCTCCTCCTCCTCCTCCGCACCTTGCCTCTCCTCCGCTTCCCGGGCCCTCCGCTTAGCCTTCCTGCGCTCTGCTCTCCCATTCCCTCCCCGCTCCCTCCTCTTCTCGGGGGCGGCAAAGAGGAGGGTGATGACTAGGGGGGGGGGGGGGGATATCATGGCGTGGGCCATGATATCATGGCGTGGGCCATGGCTGGGCCGCGCACATGCCGCCGGTCACGGTTTGCGCCCCCCCCTCTTGAACCCCCCCCTCTTGGCCGCTCCCTCCTCTTCGCTCGCTCCTCCCCGTGCCCTCCCGCCCTCCCTTCGCTTCGCGCGCCCCTCCCCGGCCCTATCCTCTCGCGCTCCATCCTGCCCGCCTCGCCCTCCTCCTCCATCCCATGTCCTCATGAGGCCAGTGGAGGCCCATGCCAAGAAACTTTCGGCGGCAAGCGAGGGGGGGAAATGAGAAGGAGAAGGCCTTCTCAGAAGGCTCGGAAGTCCCCCGGCCTTCTGAGAAGTTTTCTAAGCCTTCCCCGAAGACAGAAAACACTTCTCAGAAGGCGCAAGGGCTTCTGAGAAGTCCCGCCAGCTCTTGAGAAGATCTTCCCCTTCTCATTTCCCCCCCTCGCTCGTCGCCGAAACACCTTGCTTGCCTCCAGGGTGAACCTGGGTTTCTTGCGTTCGATGGTTTTGCTGTGGGGTGCGTGACGTTCCCGCACCAAACATCGATAGACGTCCTAAGGTCTTGGGGCTGGATTTCTTGTGAGCGATTTCTTGTGGAGGGGCCCCTACTGTAATTCTTCCATGTCGCACCCCGAGGCCGGTCGAAAGGGCATGCCGGGCGTTTCTTTGCAACATGTGGTCTTTGCCGTAGGGCCGCGCACGTCCGTTTTTTCAATGTGCAAGAGCTTCAAAGATGGAGGGCAGTTCCTTTTCAAAATGTACCTCTCGCCTTAGCGCAGGTCTCATTCGTCGTAAGAGTCTGCAGCAGTTTCAAGGACTCGCATGGTTAGCGTACCAGAAATGGTGCTTTGGAGCGATGTCGGACTGTCAGGGCGCAACAGTCAGGTTGATTCCCGGTGTTGTCGTCCCAGCAATGGCGTTCTGGCCCGATTCAGGACCGTCGAGACGTAGCAGTGACGGTGATTCGCGGCGTTGAAGTACCAGGAATGGCGTTCTGGCACAATTCCGGATTTTGAAACGGTTGTCTTCCCACGGGGGTTTTCGTTCGGTATAAATGAGTTGTTGTTGTTGGGCCGTATGCAGAGGGATTTGCTTTACGTCGCAGCGCGGCAGAGGCGATCCGCAGGCGCGCTCTTGTTAGTCGGGCAATGGCACTAATAGGCCGGCGGCAAGAGGAGGGAGGCCGAGGCGGGGCGCGGCCGCGGATGGCGGAAGAGGAGGGAGGGCACTCACAGCGCGAAGAACGTCGATTGAGGTGGCCTCTTATGCCAGCATGTGCTAACGCGGCCTGGCAGTGGACGCGGGGCAGCATCGCGGCCACACCCAGGGGCTGAGGCACAGGCTGCAGCGCAGAAGGCGAGGACCAAGTCGTTCCAGTTGTGGAGGAGGGGCGAAGAGCAAGCCCGCACAGGCGTGGGGCACCCAGGAGTTCGTTAATAGGTCCGGGGTGACAGGCTTTGCTGAAGGGGCGGGCTGACGGATACAGGAAGGCCCAAGCCCACAGGGGGCAGGGCCGCGATCAGCTCGCGGGGGCCACGTGATTGGGCTGCTGGCGACCAGCAGGGAGGGTTGATTGCAATGTTGTGGATGACTCCTTGGATTACAACGGTCCTCCTCCTCCTCCTCCTCCTCCTCCTCCTCCTCCTCCTCCTCCTCCTCCCCTTGCCTCTCCCCCGCTTCCTGGGCCCTCCGCTCCGCCTTCCTGGGCTCTGCTCTCCCGTTTCCCCTCCCCGCTCCCTCCTCTTCCCTCGCTCCTCCCCGTGCCCTCCCCGCCCACCCTTCGCTTCGCGCGCCCCTCTCCGGCCCGATCCTCTCCCGCTCCGTCCTGCCCGCCCCATCCTTCCTGGCTCAAGTTGGAGAGGAATTCTTCACGCTTCGCGTATCCCCACCAGCCCATCTCAAAACAGCAACTCTTGCGAAACATGAGGCCTCGTGGTGCCTCCTGGGGACCTCTTGTGGGCCATCTGGGGAACTCTAGGGGCCATCTGGTGGACCTCTGGGGCCCATCGTGGGCATCGCCCCATCCTTCCTGGCTCAAGCTGGAGAGGAATTTCGGGGTGCAGTCGCCGCAGAGGGCGCCCACACGTGCGGCGCCCTGGTCGGGAGCCGTGGGGCGGGGGGCCGAGGCAAGCGGGAGCGTTCAGAGCGCCGGGTCTTGCAGGATCGCGCAGAGCCGGGGTTGCATTGACCTGGGCTTGGGCGCAGGATCCTGCAAGGTCCCGCAGGCTCTTGCAGGATCTGGCGAAGCCTGACTGGCCCGGGTCTGGAGGGGCCCCTAGTCAGCAGATCCCCGGAGGAGGGCGTCCGGGCGCGCTGGTCGTCGATGGCTCCCGGGCGCGGAGGAGCGGGCAGGCCCTGCAGGCGGCAGGAGGCTCCGCAGTCGCGTGCGGGCCCTACTTGCCCTTGCGGATCCCATCGGCGCCGGGGCGGCGTCCCCCACCCCCGCTTTTTTCCTTGTCGGACGGACGGCAAGGGAAAGGGGAGGGGGGAGTGGGGGGAGTGGGGGGAGGGGGGAAGAGGAGGAATAGGACGAGGAGCAAGGAGGGAGGGGTCTAGGGAGGGAGTGCCTGGACGCAGAAGTTGGGGATAGAGGAGGGAGCAAGTGAGGAAAAAGGATGCGCGGCAGGGAGCAGGAGGAGGAGGAGAGATACAAAGGAGGAGCGGGGAGGAGGACGAGGAGGATAGGGGGAGGGGATGAGGGATGGAAGGGCGGGTGAGGAGGGCGAAGGAAAATGGAGGGAGGGTGCAGGAGGTGACGAGGTTGTCGTCGTCCTCCTCCTCGACTTTGTGTTCATCCGCCTCTCCTCCTTCCACTCCCCCCCGCGCCTCCGCCCAGGCATCTCTACAAGCGTATCGAGGGCCCCATGCGGAAGTTTCAGCGGGCGTCCATCGTGTCCTTGAAGGATCGTCCATTCGTTCCTGACTGTCCTCCCGCCACTCCTTACCCAAAACCACCACGGCTGCTGTGATCTAGGACGGCGCCGCTTCTCCCGCATATTGTCCTGCACAGCGCATGATTTCATGCTTTGATCTGCGCTCCAGCCGCATATAATCACAACGTTTTTTTTCAAACTGAACAAATTACATTGGTGCACCCGCGGCAGCGTTGGCCTCGTTTTGATATCGGCGCTGCGCTCCTCCTGCTGCTGCTGCTGCTGCTGCTCCTTCTTTTTTCTACTCCTCCTGAGCCTCCTCTTCCTCCTCATTCCTCCTCCTCCCCCCCACCTCCTCCGCCCAGGCATCTCTACAAGCGTATCGAGGGCCCCATGCGGAAGTTTCAGCGGGCGTCCAT